TTTTTTTTTTGTAAGAGTAGTTATATGGAGGGAAGAGTCAATTATGGACCTATCCTTGTCGGTTTATACAATAATTATTTGTATCTAATGTCGCTATACTTGTATCTTTAATTCAGTCATGGGGTATAAAGTAGTTATCTGAAGGAAACCGAAAATGGGTGTTTGATTAGTTATCGACCGAACCTCATCAAATTCAGTTGAAAAGTTCCAGTTCCTATAAAACTACCATAATTTTGAAGAACTTTTGAGCCATATATGAGCGTTAAAGTGATTTTCTGGAGTGGATCTTATATAAGAGTCAATTATAGACCGATTTTTATAAACGTACATAAATTACTAATGAGAGTTAAAGTAATTTTACTGAAGTGGCCATTTATCGGTCCATCTTCATCAATGTCGGTAGGAAGATTTCAGTTACCATAATATTTGTTTATGTTGTATTGCACATATCTACTCGTATTTGTATGCCAGTAATGAGCGTTAAAGGCGCCCCTATACGCGCATCCCCGTATAAGTCAATTATGAATCGATACTTCTTAAATTTAGAACAATTTTTGTACATACAAATATTGTTTATGTCGCATTTTTGAGTCAGTAATGAGCTTTAAAGTCATTTTCTAATGGGGACCTTAGTAGGAGCATAGGGTAGGGGCTCATACAAAACTTGTTTATGTGAAACTTCATCGCTGTAGTCGTATTTGAGAGTCAGTAAGCATAAAATTTAAGAAAATGATTTTAGTTCTTATAAAACTTTTTTATGTCGAATTTTATTGTTATATATATGCTTCTTAAGGTCAGATATAGGCATTTTCTGAAGGGGAGCTTATATGGGGGGTAGGGTCAATTATGGACCGATCCTTATAAAATTCTACGAAGAGATTTAGGTTCCCATAGAACATATTTGTGCCGAATTTCAGCGCTATTGATGCTTTTCTTAGCCAGTTATGGGCGATAAAGTCATTTTCTGAAGGGGACTTTGTATGGGGGGTAGGGTCAATAATGGACCGATCCCTATAAAATTCTACAAGGAGATTTATGTTCCCATAAAACATGTTTGTGCCGAATTTCACCGCTATTGATGCTTCTCTTAGCAAGTTATGAACGATAAAGTAATTTATAGAAGGGGGCCTTATATGGGGGACGGACAGACGGACGGACATGGCTAGATCGTCTTAGAATCTAATAAGGATTCTAAGACGATCTAGCCATGTTCTAGCCCATAATTGGATAAGGATCTTAGCCAATTATGGGCGATAAAGTCATTTTCTGAAGGGGACTTTGTATGGGGCCTATCCTTATACAATTTTAAAAAGAGATTTAGGTTCCCATAGAACATATTTGTGCCGAATTTCAGCGCTATTGATGCTTTTCTTAGCCAGTTATGGGCGATAAAGTCATTTTCTGAAGATGACTTTGTATGGGGGGTAGGGTCAATTATGGAGCGATCCCTATAAAATTCTACAAGGAGATTTATGTTCCCATAGGACATGTTTGTACCGAATTTCACCGCTATTGATGCTTCTCTTAGCAAGTTATGAGCGATAAAGTAATTTATAGAAGGGGGCCTTATATAGGGGACGGAAAGACGGACAGACGGACGGACATGGCTAGATCGTCTTAGAATCTAATAAGGATCCAGAATATATATACTTTTATGGGTCTTAGACGAATATTTTAATGTGTTACAAACGGAATGACAAAAACAATATACCCCCCATCTTTTTGATGGTGGGTATAAAACACAAAGTATTAAGTGCGATGGTGTCAAAATTTTTGATACCCTCTAGCTGTGTCAAGAAAAGGTATTGATAAAATAAAATAAGTCATTACTTATTTATATGAATAAAATAAATAAAACCCAAAAAACAGCTTAATGTGAATTAAGAAAAGTTTCATAATTTATAAAGGGTTTTCAGTTAAACGTTAAAAAGCTTCGAATAACGGTCAATCTGTGCATTTTAGATTTTCCATTGTATTCGTCACAAATTTTATATCACTATACTTCTACATATCGTCTGGATTACATAGAAGTATTTTCGGAATAGGGCCTTCAATGAGGCTTTGGGTTAGTTATGGACTCAGCTCTTAATGAAGTAATTAAGCTTTCCGAATTCCACCATAATTCTATCCAAATGCTAAACTTTTGGAATGTATGGGCTAGCGTAAGTTATGGACAGATCCTCATAAGATTAGGTTTCATGAATAAATGTATCGATTAATAAAAAACTATTTGTGCCCCATTAGATTAGCCAGATATGAGTTCTTAAGAGGGTATATTACTCAAAAAATTTAGTAGAAAAACTGTTATTCGTATTTTATAGGAACCTTAATATCATTGAAAAATGTATAAGGATCGGTCCATAATTGACCCTATCCCCAATACAAAGTCCCCTTCAGAAAATGACTTTAACGCTCATAACTGACTAAAAGAAGCAGCTATTGCGATGAAATTCGACATAAACATATTTTATAGGAACCTTAATATCTTTGTAAAATTTTATAAGGATCGGTATATAATTGACCCTATCCACCATATAAGGTCTCCTTCAGAAAATGGCTTTGATGCGCATAACTGCCTTAAAGAAGCATCTATAGCGATGAAATTTGACATGAACATATTTTATAGGAAGCTTAATATCCTTGTAAAATTCTATAAGGATCGGTCCATAATTGACCCTATCCCCCATATAAGAAAATGACTTTAACGCTCATAAATTACTAGAAGAAACACCTATAGCGATGAAATTCGACACGAACATATTTTATAGAAACCTTAATATCAGGATCGGTCCATAGTTGACCAAACCTCCCCCCAAATAAGGTCCCTCTCAGAAAATTACTTTTTCGCTTTCTACTACCTTAAAAATACAAGTACAGCGACAAAATTCGACAAAAATTTCTCTTCTAAATTTTAGGAGGATCAGTCCATAATTGATCCTATATATACATATATGTATGTTGGTAAAATTATACATAGATGTAATAAATGAGAAAATTGTTTTGATAATAAAACAAGTAAGAGTGTTATATTCGGCTATGCCGAATCTTATATACCCACCACGAAATCACTGCCATATAAATAAACTTTGATATTTTTAATATTTTATTATTATATATCGATATTAATGAGAACATCATTGTAATATTTGAAAGAGGTCCATTAATGGGGGTTTAACTATTGACAGTGCTCTTTCGAATTAAATATGTTAATTTATATAGGGTGCAGGGTTATATATACACATATGGACCAATTTTCATAAAAGTCGGTAGGAAGATTTCAGTTCTTTATTTATTTCAAATTTCATAGATCTACTTGTATTTTTAAGCCAGTAATGAGCATTAAAGTCATTTTCTTAAAGGACCTTATACGGGGTTGAGGTTAACTATGGACTGATCCTCATAAAATATGGTAGAGATATTTAGTAATGAGCGTTTAAGTGATTTTCTGATGGGGAACTTAAATGAAGGGTAGGGTCAATTATGGACCGATACCCACAAAATTTTGTAGAGAGATGTTAGCTCATACAAAACTATTTCGAACTTCACCACCTTACTCGTTTTTTAGGCCAGTAATGAGCGTTAAAGTAATTTTCTGTTAGGGACCTTATAAGCGGGATAGGGTCATTTAAGGCCGATCCACATACAATTTGGTGGAAAGGTTTTGGCTCCTAAGATAATTATTTGTATCAAATTTCTTCGCTATACTCGTATTTTTACGCCAATAATGAGCGTTAAAGACATTTTCAGAAGGGGACCTTATATGGATGGGTAGGGTTAATTATGGACAATCAACATAAAATTTGGTAGAGAGATTTTGGCTCGTATAAAACTTACTTCTGTGAAATTTCATCGCTTTATTCGTATTTTTAAGCCAGTAATGAGCGTTAAAGTAATTTTATGGATCGAACTTATATGGGCGGTAGGGTCAATTATAGACCGATCCACATAAAATTTGGTGGAGAGATTTTCACTTGTATGAAACTTACTTATGTAAAATTTCATCACTATACTGGTATTTTTACGCCAATAATGAGCGTTAAAGTAATTTTCTGAAGGTGACCTTATATAGGGGGTAGGGTCAATTATGGACCGATCGACATATAGTTTGGTGGAGAGATATTGGCTTGCATGAAACCTATGTGTGTTAAATTTCATCGCTATATTCGTATGTTTAAGCCAGTAATCAGAATTATAGTAATTTTCAAAGGGGGACCTTATATGGGGGGGTAGGGCCAATTGTGGTGCTATGTCCGACATAATTCAGAATTTTAATTCGGAGGTCAAAAAACTGACTTATGCGAAATTTTGTGCCATTTGATTCATAAACAACGAATTTGTGAATGTTTGAAGCTTTTTATACAATATTCCAGGGGGGCACATTTGTATGGGGGCTATGTGAAATCGTTGACCGATTTTGCCCATTTTCAATACAAACATTTCTGATCAATAAAAAATATTTTGGGAAAATTTTATCTCAATATCTCTTTTTTTGTGGACGCTATCGTGCCAACAACAGACAGACGGACGGACAGACGGACGGACATAGCTATATCGTCTTAGAATCTTACGAGGTCCCAGAATATATATACTTTATGGGGTCTGTGAACAATATTTCGATGTGTTACACACGGAATGACAAAATCAATATACCCCCCATCTTTTTTGATGGTGGGTATAAAAAAGCATCGATTCTTAAATATCAAAGTTTATTTATAACGAAGCATTCCTTTTCGGCAATGATTTGATGGTGGGTATACAAGATTCGGCATAGCCGAATATAACACTCATACTTGTAATTAAGTAAAGAGTTTTTAATTCTGAGTATTCAAGTATGTATATACTGCCAATAATAATGCAAAGAGATTCATTCAATTTAATATTCTTAACAATACCGTAGTAGGGCATCGAAAATAATCTTTTCACTGATTTCTCTGAGCTGATTAAGAGCTAAAGTAATATAAACGGCTTTATCTTTAGTACAAATAAAAAAGAGTAAAATATTCTGAAATTGATTTATTAAATAATTCAATGAATTATAATTTTATTTTTGTATTTAAATAATCAATTAAGAAAAAATATACAACTAAATCTTAATATTAAATTAATACTAAAAATTAATTTATTACATGTGCGTATAATAAGTACAAAATAGATCATTAAAATTTAAAACTAGAAAATGCTGATTAAAAACTAACTAAAAACACTTATTTAAATAAATACGTAAGAAAATATAATAAAATAAATAAATTAACACAATTCAAATTATAATTGAAGCAAGATAATTATGAGTAGAAATAAAATATATAGTCAAGACAATAATAGGAAATGACAAGAAATGCAATCGTTATAAAATACTAAGATAGATCTTGAGGCCAACTTTACAAGACAAACAGCCTGGAAAATATTAAGAATTTCAACTAAAATTTACATAGAAATAAGTCAGGAACATTTCAAGTAGAGTTAAGTTAATAATCCTTAAACTGATCATATCAATATGAAAGTAAAGTGAGCTCCTTAAGATTATAAGCTTTTAAAATTTTGGTTTTCTTAATCAAAATTCTATTCACTATTTACTAAATTTATTCAGGTATACCAGTCTTTATGACTTGACCATTCGTACAGCGAAATATTTTCTCATGTTCGGGTAATTCACCAATCAAATAATCACGCATTTGTTCAATGGCATCACGAGAATGACCGGTGCCATGAAAAGCCAAAGTAGCATCACGTCCCGCATAATCCATTATAACATCGGCGCCACCGGGATGATCTTGTAAGAAACTAGTTAGATCATACACACGATCATAGATTACTACCCAGCAATCGCAATAGTCATCATGTTGAGCTACAGCATCGAGGCTAATTTCTGGTAATGCAGCTTTTTGAGCGGTTAAAACTTTGAGGGGAGGCTGCTGAGCTTTCTGCTTTTGTCCAGCTGTAGGCACAATACGTAAAGTTTGCAGGAGACTTGTAATTGAGGTAGTCATAGTTTTTCTTTTTTTCTTCAGTTCTCAAAATAAAATCCCAATTTTTGTAATCTCACGTTTTATTTATTTTTTTATAATTATTATTTACAGATATTTTTCTTATGAACTTGAGTTTAATTCACGTTACTAAAGAAATTAGGACGTATTTGTCTATTTGTATTTTTTTTTTTTTTTAACCGTAATTGAAATAATTTTTTAATCCGTACGCACGCCTTGATTTATAAACACTGAATGCTGTTTGCCCAAGTCTCTTTAATCTATTTATAAAGCTTTTACTAGATGGTTTTTAGCATTTTTTAAGAGTATTCAGATAATGAGAAAAATTTTATTTTTCATCTTTTTTAATCTCTTAACGGTGCTTATTGTCGTGGTTTTTCGTTAGTTTGTTCAAAATGAAAACGAAATATGATCGTGTTGATCTGTCTCAATAGCAAGCAACCCGTTAGTTTGATTTATTTGTCTGCCCTGCTAGACAAGTATTCACTGATTATCTTGTTGACTGGGGAAATGTGTTTAATAGGGAATTATTGAAGGAACACAGATTTTTCTTAATTTTGAGAAAAAAAAAATAGTCTAGTCTATTGCTTAGTCTATAGCTTAGTCTGTAGTCTTGTCTATAGTCTAGTCTATAGTCTAGTCTATAGTCTAGTCTATAGTCTAGTCTATAGTCTAGTCTATAGTCTAGTCTATAGTCTAGTCTATAGTCTAGTCTATAGTCTAGTCTATAGTCTAGTCTATAGTCTAGTCTATAGTCTAGTCTATAGTCTAGTCTATAGTCTAGTCTATAGTCTAGTCTATAGTCTAGTCTATAGTCTAGTCTATAGTCTAGTCTATAGTCTAGTCTATAGTCTAGTCTATAGTCTAGTCTATAGTCTAGTCTATAGTCTAGTCTATAGTCTAGTCTATAGTCTAGTCTATAGTCTAGTCTATAGTCTAGTCTATAGTCTAGTCTATAGTCTAGTCTATAGTCTAGTCTATAGTCTAGTCTATAGTCTAGTCTATAGTCTAGTCTATAGTCTAGTCTATAGTCTAGTCTATAGTCTAGTCTATAGTCTAGTCTATAGTCTAGTCTATAGTCTAGTCTATAGTCTAGTCTATAGTCTAGTCTATAGTCTAGTCTATAGTCTAGTCTATAGTCTAGTCTATAGTCTAGTCTATAGTCTAGTCTATAGTCTAGTCTATAGTCTAGTCTATAGTCTAGTCTATAGTCTAGTCTATAGTCTAGTCTATAGTCTAGTCTATAGTCTAGTCTATAGTCTAGTCTATAGTCTAGTCTATAGTTTAGTCTATAGTCTAGTATATAGTCTATAGTCTAGTCTATAGTCTAGTCTATAGTCTAGTCTATAGTCTAGTCCATAGTCTAGTCTATAGTCTAGTCTATAGTCTAGTCTATAGTCTAGTCTATATTCTAGTCTATTCTAGTCTATAGTCTAGTCTATATTCTAGTCTATAGGCTAGTCTATAGTCTAGTCTATAGTCTAGTCTATAGTCTAGTCTATATTCTAGTCTATATTCTAGTCTATAGTCTAGTCTAGTCTATAGTCTAGTCATTCTAGTCTATAGTCTAGTCTATAGTCTAGTCTCTAGTCTAGTCTATAGTCTAGTCTATAGTCTAGTCTATAGTCTAGTCTATAGTCTAGTCTATAGTCTAGTCTATAGTCTAGTCTATAGTCTAGTCTATAGTCTAGTCTATAGTCTAGTCTATATTCTAGTCTATATTCTAGTCTATAGTCTAGTCTATAGTCTAGTCTATAGTCTAGTCTATATTCTAGTCTATAGTCTAGTCTATATTCTAGTCTATAGTCTAGTCTATAGTCTAGTCTATAGTCTAGTCTATAGTCTAGTCTATAGTCTAGTCTATAGTCTAGTCTATAGTCTAGTCTATAGTCTAGTCTATAGTCTAGTCTATAGTCTAGTCTATAGTCTAGTCTATAGTCTAGTCTATAGTCTAGTCTATAGTCTAGTCTAGTCTAGTCTATAGTCTAGTCTATAGTCTAGTCTATAGTTTAGTCTATAGTCTAGTCTATAGTCTAGTCTATAGTCTAGTCTATAGTCTAGTCTATAGTCTAGTCTATAGTCTAGTCTATAGTCTAGTCTATAGTCTAGTCTATAGTCTAGTCTATAGTCTAGTCTATAGTCTAGTCTATAGTCTAGTCTATAGTCTAGTCTATAGTCTAGTCTATAGTCTAGTCTATAGTCTAGTCTATAGTCTAGTCTATAGTCTAGTCTATAGTTTAGTCTATAGTCTAATCTATAGTCTAGTCTAGTCTAGTCTATAGTCTAGTCTATAGTCTAGTCTATAGTCTAGTCTATAGTCTAGTCTATAGTCTAGTCTATAGTCTAGTCTATATTCTAGTCTATATTCTAGTCTATAGTCTAGTCTATATTCTAGTCTATAGTCTAGTCTATAGTCTAGTCTATAGTCTAGTCTATATTCTAGTCTATATTCTAGTCTATAGTCTAGTCTATAGTCTAGTCTATAGTCTAGTCTATATTCTAGTCTATAGTCTAGTCTATATCTAGTATAGTCTAGTCTATAGTCTAGTCTATAGTCTAGTCTATAGTCTAGTCTATAGTCTAGTCTATAGTCTAGTCTATAGTCTAGTCTATAGTCTAGTCTATAGTCTAGTCTATAGTCTAGTCTATAGTCTAGTCTATAGTCTAGTCTATATAGTCTATAGTCTAGTCTATAGTCTAGTCTATAGTCTAGTCTATAGTCTAGTCTATAGTCTAGTCTATAGTCTAGTCTATAGTCTAGTCTATAGTCTAGTCTATAGTCTAGTCTATAGTCTAGTCTATAGTCTAGTCTATAGTCTAGTCTATAGTCTAGTCTATAGTCTAGTCTATATAGTCGTCTAGTCTATAGTCTAGTCTATAGTCTAGTCTATAGTCTAGTCTATAGTCTAGTCTATAGTCTAGTCTATAGTCTAGTCTATAGTCTAGTCTATAGTCTAGTCTATAGTCTAGTCTATAGTCTAGTCTATAGTCTAGTCTATAGTCTAGTCTATAGTCTAGTCTATAGTCTAGTCTATAGTCTAGTCTATAGTCTAGTCTATAGTCTAGTCTATAGTCTAGTCTATAGTCTAGTCTATAGTCTAGTCTATAGTCTAGTCTATAGTCTAGTCTATAGTCTAGTCTATAGTCTAGTCTATAGTCTAGTCTATAGTCTAGTCTATAGTCTAGTCTATAGTCTAGTCTATAGTCTAGTCTATAGTCTAGTCTATAGTCTAGTCTATAGTCTAGTCTATAGTCTAGTCTATAGTCTAGTCTATAGTCTAGTCTATAGTCTAGTCTATAGTCTAGTCTATAGTCTAGTCTATAGTCTAGTCTATAGTCTAGTCTATAGTCTAGTCTATAGTCTAGTCTATAGTCTAGTCTATAGTCTAGTCTATAGTCTAGTCTATAGTCTAGTCTATAGTCTAGTCTATAGTCTAGTCTATAGTCTAGTCTATAGTCTAGTCTATAGTCTAGTCTATAGTCTAGTCTAGTCTAGTCTATAGTCTAGTCTATAGTCTAGTCTATAGTCTAGTCTATAGTCTAGTCTATAGTCTAGTCTATAGTCTAGTCTATAGTCTAGTCTATAGTCTAGTTTATAGTCTAGTCTATAGTCTAGTCTATAGTCTAGTTTATAGTCTAGTCTATAGTCTAGTCTATAGTCTAGTCTATAGTCTAGTCTATACTCTAGTCTATAGTCTAGTCTATAGTCTAGTCTATAGTCTAGTCTATAGTCTAGTCTATAGTCTAGTCTATACTCTAGTCTATAGTCTAGTCTATAGTCTAGTCTATAGTCTAGTCTATAGTCTAGTCTATAGTCTAGTCTATAGTCTAGTCTATAGTCTAGTCTATAGTCTAGTCTATAGTCTAGTCTATAGTCTAGTCTATAGTCTAGTCTATAGTCTAGTCTATAGTCTAGTCTATAGTAGTCTATTATTTCGAATTTTCGAAAATTTTTTTTTAGTTTTTATAACACAGAGATTATTTTAAGAGCATAAAAAGTATAAGAGAATGTCGTTTATATTCGATTTCATTCTAGAATTATAGTCGAAGTATTTAGTATGAGTTTTTTGTATTATACAAAATCTGTAACATAAGAGTAGATCTTTAGTATTAAACTTTATTCTGGAGTAAAAGTCGAAAAATCAAAGATGAGTCTTTAGTGTAAGAAATGTTTTTAAGCAGTATAAAACAAATTATTTTTTACAAGACAAAGTATTTATAATTAAAGAAAAACTTTATATTTCACTAATCCCATTCAAATATTATCATTATCTGGCAACCACGATCAGTAGGCGTTCATTCACTTAAATTTTTTTACTCAAATTATAGATTTACTCATTTTATTAAAACGCATCTTTAGTTTTACAACGTAATATTATCTATAATTAAATATGTAGTATATTTATATAACTAGTGATTATTACTACAACAATAATGATATAGATAATATAGTAAGTGAAACTTGTCTGAATATAGACATATTGTCGATATGATCATGTACGAGATTGTACAACTGTGTTAATATGTTGAAAAAAAAAAAACTAATAAAAATAGTTTCACTTAATTTAGAAATAGATTTTCTTTTCAATTTAATGTGTGATCTATCTGATAGCTGAGGTCTTCTTAATTATTGGGCGTTTCTTTTCAAAACTGAAATAAATTTAAAGCTGCCACGAGCTGGGTCGAATGCCCAAGATATCGTATCAAAATATATCATGCCGCTATAAATAGACAATTTTTACTCACTATATTAAAGACATAGATGTATTGAATAGTATAAGTGTATATTCTGTGCTGCTGCTTGATTCTAAGATGATCTTGAACTCTATGTCCGTCTGTCTGAAATATTATTATGAAGACTAAATTCATCAGATTATTGTATATCTATGAATGGTCATCTTAGTAGCAATTTATTATATATAGACATAATCACAAATATGTTAATATATGTATGTTCATCTGTATGTTACATAAAAAACGACAAACTCATTATACATATAGTAGTGGTCTTAATGAATTTACTTCATTTCATGTAATATGATTTAACTGCAATTCATTTTTATTTTAGAATCAAATTATTAAACTAATAGTAGATTTGTTTTTAGAAAAACCACAAAAACTAATTATAATATTGTATCCCAGCAAAATTAATTATTATATACCGTATGCATTACTTAGAGGGAGTCTAGTAATGTTTTATAACTAATATTATATGTAAGTACT